GCGACCGCAAGAGCTGGATTGCTGTGGATAGTGATTCACCAACCGGACCCGCTGGAGAACCACCGAGCCACCGAACCACCGAGCCACCGGTCCCTTAATCACAGTAGTACTCATACTTTTTCAAAAAAAAAGTAACTTAAAAAGTGTTTAATTTATTATTTATTAAGGTAGTAATATGTTTTGTAAGGATAGGATTTAAACTGCGATCTAGGGTTATTTTGCACCTTTTGAACTAATTGATGCTTGAGGTATTAGTTACAGAGTTACCACTGTATCTGCAACTGTGTCCAGTTGCCTGTCAACTTACGGCCCATATAAAAACAGGCGACGACTGTGGCTCGTTTCATAAACTCTTGTCAAGCGATCGCTGGCTTGTTGGATCGCTGGATCGGAGGATCTTTGGATGGCCGAATAGCTGGTTGGTTGGTTGGTTGGTTGGATCCCTGGATGGTTGGATGGTTGGATGTTTGGATGGTTGGTCCCTCTGCGCAGTCGTAAAGTCGCGGCCAACACCTAGACTGCAGATGGCCGACTGCAGACCGCTTATGAGTGTATTTCGCTGGCGAGGTGTCAGGAAACAACTTGTCGGAATGCATCTAACAAGGAATTCGATTTTGCCGGCCGTTCAGTTGGCTCTCGGCCGGGTTCCCTCGAACCCCTTTCTCCCCTTCCCCTTCCCTGACTTCTCTGCTCCTTTGCTCCTCGACTCCTTGGCTCCTCGACTCCTTTGCTTCTTGGCTGTGTCCCATCGCCCAGGCTAATGGCACGTTGCATGTTTTACCACGCTTGATGACATGAATGGGCGCGGGCTCCAGACAAAGTGAGCGAGACGGCACTACGCAGGGGGAAAGAGACGGATGCCAGTGGAGGGAGTCGGGCCCACTTCCCTGTCCAGTTTCAGGCGATTGGTTCGATCAAGCCTGACCGGGTTCCTTGGCTGGTTTTATTTCGTCCCTGCCTTCTTTTGTGCCACATTATCGATGAAGATCGCCGAGGGTTTGTTCCATTAAAAAGACACCTTAGTCACCCTTTTAAAACATTATATAATTAAAAACTTATATCAATCTATGCAATCTTAAAAATGAGGAATATTTACTTTTTTTATTTCATTCATTTCAAGCATTTTTTATAAATAGGAAAAAAATCTTGGATTATTGTAGCTCATTAGCGATTCTCCTAAGTCGCAGACCAAATGGAATGCAGGAAACAAGAGGGGCAGATAGTGTGTAATGTATTGTTGATCGCATCCCCAAAATGATTGAATCAATGTGGCACGAAACTTTCAAGCCAACTCACACAAAGGAACTGAAGGACTGAGGGAGGAGTTTCTTGCCAGACTGGCAAACATTTTTGGAATTTTTGTTAATTTGTAGGACGACATTTTGCTGCCTCTGTTGAATGGACGCGGCAATAGGATGTTATAGTTCTGGAACTTCCAAATACTCTTTTTTCTCCTGAATGGTTTATTTGGGTGAAAGTGGTGCAAATATAATAGTAGTATCTCGTTGCGTTCGTAATTAAATTAGTTTTTGTTATTGCTGAAATGTGCATCAGAATGAATTTTGGGCAAGGAAGAGCCACATTCCAAGAAGCAGTTAAACAATGAGATCCTCCACACTTTCAGTACTCATTCATCCACTTACTTTGTATCACATTTTGAGTTCATTTTGTTTAGTTGTTGATGTCGGCGATCGAAGAGCTTGTCACCACTTTCCTGGGGCAATTTGTACGCGTTTTCAACTCGGGGGGCTTCAAAAACTTGTGTATCGGCCAGCGAAGAATTCTCGTAGGTGTTTATAATGTACACTCACTCCGGCCGATCGATACGATGTGGTTTTTTAGGTTTTTCGCATTTTTTTCCGAGCTGAAACCGAACGATTTTTAAGTTGTTGCTGCTGCCGTCATGGCTGTTGTTGTATTTGCTGTATTTTCGCAGTTTACTTTTTGGACATTAAAACATCCGTTTACATACTATTCCCATTAGCACGACTCTGTCGTCTTGTTGTCGCTGGCGATTCGATCCCGATCCTCGGCGGTCCACTTCCCGCGGCTCCAAGTCGAAATCGAAATCGGGGATTTGGCGATGCGATGCTGTCGTCGTCTTGTCTTGGACACGCGACAATCTTTGTTTTCTTTCCACTGGCCGAACCGCGGTCTTCCGAAGCCTCGTCTTCTTGTCATTGTTGTTCTTCGACTGGTGGAAACAAAAGCAGAATTAAATTGTTATGAACACAAGTTTTCGATACAGGGCATACTTAACACATATTTATGGCGCGTGCAGCGGTAGCGGAGATTCTTGAGATACATTTTTCCGATTCCGATTCCCGCGCCCTCCCCCCGCGGAATATAGGCTTATAAATTGGTCGGTTTTACGGCCGATCTGAGTCAGCGCATCTGGAATGTGGATCGGGCGAACTGGAATCGGGTGGCTGGGCTATTGGCCATAATAAAATTAAAAGTTTTCGGCTTTGTTTCAGTTTCGGTTTCAAGCGTTTACGATTGATTTGGATGACCGGAATCTGTGTATCGTTAGGGTGACTCGATGGGGAAGTGCCCTAAATTGTAGAAGAGTAAGTATTTGAAAACTTTTCAATACCATATGGGTTTTATAAAATGTATATACTTATCATGAGATATAATTACTACCTCTAAACATATTGCATTAAAAAACCCAAAATATCATCGAGGCACCCTAACAAATTTTGGTATGCAAGTCAGCTATACCATTTATGTGACCTCCCCCTCCAACAGCCTGTTTTGGACTCCTGGTCGACCAGACTTAATTAAATATCAGTGACATTTATCGGGTCTCGTGTAGCTTTGGCACGCCACTTTAACGATAAGTGAAGGGGAAGTGGAGGGGGAAGTTCAGGGGGAAGCGAGGGGGAGGGCCAGAAGCCCCCAAAGCCCCAAACCCGCCCTGTCATGTATAAATCACCTGAAAAAGAGCTTGCGCCAAAACCACCTCAACCTCTCAAGCTCTCCCCAAAATGGATCCTTCTGGGGGAGCAGGGGGGTTGTGGGGGGTGTGGGCGGCAGAGGCGTGGGGTGGGAGGGGCTGGAGGGGGGAGAAAGGAGGGCCGCGAGTCCAGGGCAGCCAATAAAAAAAGAGCGACGACTGTGCAGGAATGTTTAATGATGTATAAAGCATGTTAGAGTTTATCTTTATGGTGGCGTTCTTTTGCCAAAAAAAAAGAAAAAGATTAAAAGAAGAATGACAAGAGTGCCACAGATATCTGGACAAGCCGAATGTTAAATGATCTAATTTTCATTCGGAAATAAACATAAAAACTTTTATTATTAACACCAAAAATTAATCATAAAAAAGTTTAGGTTTTTATTAAATGTCAAACAAAAAATAAGAAACATTTTCAATAAAAAAATAAAAAAAATATTTCAATAAGAGCTTAGTTATTTGTGGCATAACTCTTTTTTCGGTTAGAGTATTCTCCCTAAATAAAAGCTGTCACAAGTATTTCGGAAATTTTTCTCCAAATTTATGGCGCTCGATGCTATCAAATATATAAAAGTTAACGCTGACTCTCTGAAGAATCAACCTGAGCAAAACCCGAAATGCGTTGATCCCAAGACTCCTATCTGGGATTCCTACCCCAACTCAGCTCCCCTTGGCCTAATCTCATAATATAACATAACATTTGGGTGCTCTTCTAGCGGGGAATTCATTTCCTTTGCAATTGGCAAAACCCAATTAAGTGACCACTATCGGTCAGATATTCGATTCGCTAAGTGTGCCAAGAGCTCGATGACGAGTTCTCGATTCTTGATAAGCAGTATCGCAGAGTTTTTGTGGGCGGACGAGATCTAAGAAAATCTAAATTTCTCAGTACCTTCGGGCCCCCAATAAACATTTTATCGGACAGCTGGCGCGCAATCTTTGAATGGAGAAACTACTGGAATTGTTCTTTTCGCATGATTATTTCGCTGGCAATCGAAATGACTTTATGGCCTCCACTTGAACAGCAAGTGACGAAAGGCCATTAGATTCCCATTAAATTGCAGTGTGGCAAGCCAGAAGGCATATAAACATGCCGAGATAAGAGCTTTCTTGGTGGGTGTTGCCAAAAAAAGTTGGGGATATACCCACAGTTCTGGATCCACGAAACTGCTGATAATCATGATCAAGGCGAAAAGTGTTGATGAGTCAGTTATGACTAGAATAATGAGTGGATAATTTTTCGGGAAATCATTTTGAAATCCCCGTAGGTACACCTGGACTGGAGATCTAAGTTTAGGCTTTACATCATCCCGGCCACTTGGAGATCTATCCGGTGACACTTTCTCCGTCCATCGGACGACCCATCCATCTATCTAACTAGCCATCCGCCGCCCTCCCACATCATTGTTGTTTTCACGCTCCGGCCATCGATCGCGACTGGAAGTGGGAAAGTGGGAAGTGGGGAAACGGGACTGGAAGCGAGCGAGGCGTCGCTTCATCATGTCGCATAAATAATAATCAAAAGTAACATTTTCTATAACGCGCCGCTGAGCCACGCCACCCACATGCAAACGGCGGACGGCGGAGTGTGTGTGGAAATAAATATCCAGCCCGCATGTTAGGCAATCGAATCGGATCGGATCGAATCGAACGGATCGAAAATTGTGTCCAACAAAGTAGCCGGCCCGGAGTTGAGTGAGAAACGGTTGGGAAATTTATGGCGCAAAGTACAGTGCTCGATTGTCAACCGGCGCAAAAAAAAAAGGCTAAGAAAATCCGAAAAGAAGGCCAAGAGACAAGCGTCCGAGCAACCAGTTTCACATGGGGCTGAAGGAGCAGACGGAGCTGAGCAGTCTTCGGTGCAGATTAGTCACATGTCAGTTTCAATTATCGTCGAGTCAATTTGTTGAAAGGCCGCGAACGCAGCAGCCAAAGCAGCTAAAAAGCAGCCAAAGGCCCGAACCCCGGGCCAATGCAAAAGCGATCCAGATCGGGACCAAGTCGCCAAGTCAATCGATACCGCATTGGCCAGATTTCGCTTGAAATATTCCAACTGCGATGCATGTGGAGTCGCTCCAGCCAGGAGTCGTCAGATTGGGAATCAGGCAAAACAGTTCACCAGGAGAAAAATCTATATGTTATGCCATTTTTAATGAGTCCATCTACTTTCAATATAAGTAGTTTAAGCCACATGTTGGGCGCCAAATAACAAATGCACAAAGCTTTCCTGTTGCAAGTTTTAATTGATCAGGAGTCATGAACCATCATGGTAAGGCATTCTAATTCAAGTTCTTAAGTTCGTTCTAAACTTCCACTTTTTCTCACAGTGTCGCGACTCAGAATTGGAGCCACCAGGCGCGTCTGATTATCGGCAGGACAACGACAACTGCGAACTGAAAACTGAAAATGCGAAGACGACGACGATGAGACGGCATAGGGCATAACTCAGATGCTCTGCTATGATAATTTCCAATAAGACCCGCCGTCGCTCTCCACCCCGATCTGCAGCAATCCCCGATCCGTGGTCCGTGGTCCGCTGATCTGCTCTGGAAATTGATGATGCCGGGTATGTTTGGAGTCAGCTTGTTTACACAATTCAGCGCACATTGAGGTCGGGTACCGGCATGGTGTCGTGTAGCCAAAGCTCGAAAGGAATTTGTTTGGCCGCTTCCATCAAAGAGGCGCCGAACTGAAATCAAGATCAAGATTGATATCGGGCTTCTCTCCCGTCTTTCTCCGTTTTTTTCGGCTTTCGGTTCTCTTTTTGTGTTCCTGGTGGTCACAACAAATCGATGAAATTCCTAGACAAATGTTTGGGTTGCATAATCGCATTTCTTTGCTTTTTTTTTGAGGCGATTGAAGATTCTGTCACCCAGTTCACGTACGGTTTGCTCGCTCACGTACATCGGCTATTTGTCGAGCTGACAAATTGTCGCCGCATCTGTATCGGAATCGGGGTACCTGTGTATCTTTGTATCTCCGTATCCGCGCGATACTCGAACTCGGCTGCGCGGCGAAAAGCGTGTCAACACATTGTGTGAGTGCCCGAAGCCACCGCCTCATTTGTCTTCCGAGCTTTGCTTTGTTTGCCAGCATTTTGCTTTGGCTTTGAATGCCAGCCCATTTGTCTTAATGGTTCAATGCTGCAGTTTTCCCCCGCGTTGGTCAGTGTCTTCGTCTTCGACTTCTACTTCGACTCGAATTTGAGTTTCCCAGGGCCAGCCAGCCTGCATCCGATGTGCAGCCTTCCCCGAGAGTCCCACGCACCTGGTCGGCCCTACTTTGACACCTTTTCATTGTCATTACCTTTGTAGTGGTCGCTGTCGCTAATGCGAAATATCAATTTTCCCAAGAGTTCACGTGTGCGGGGTTGTGTGTGCCGAGCTTATTGAAACTCAAACAAATCGTAGTTCCGGCGTTGTCTGCTGACACTGCGGTTGAGCCCGATTTGTAATGATGTGTGAAACGAGCTCTGCGGTTGGCGTTGCGGAAATGGGTATTACTCACCAAGTGGAGGTGGACAGGAACCTAGACTTGGTTTGTGAAGTAAAATCATATTTGGAGGATATGGATTAGGAAATATTCCCTTCAATCTGCTTCAGATAACTCCCTCTGTAGAGGGAGCCACTTAAGTCAGTGAAGCAAGAAGCTCCTCTGGACGCTTTCCTCTGTAGAGGGAGCCACTTATGGCATTTAGGCAATCAGCATTTTAATAAAGAGTCTTCAGGTGACAGCAGAGTTCTTTTCGCCCGACATTCGGATGCACAGATATCTGATCGAGAGACAGCTGCCTAACACTCGGCCGAGATCCGCTCAAATCCCCCTGAAGATGGCGCTTTGGCTCATCGGATCCCGACTTGGACAGCCATTTAGCACAGCAGCAGGCCGCTGTCGCCGCTGTCATGGCTTACGCCCAGCAAATGATTACCAATTTCTTCACACAATTCATGCATAAAAATAATTCCCAATTAGCTGCAAAGCCATAAGCGAAATAAATAAAAGGAGGCGCACAAAAAGGCGGCTTCGAAGCGGAAAAAAAGCGAACAGGCGCCTTCGTGTGAATGCCGCCGCAGCGGTAAAAATAATAATAATCGTAAAAAGGCAAAGTGATGGGAGGTAGGAGGGTTGTATTTATGTGTCCAGGCCAGACAGGGGGTGAAATGAAAGGGAAACTGAACGAACGAGCGGGCGACATGATGTTGATATGTTAACAAGACGCCCCAAGAGTGCCAAGTGGTGAAGATGATCCTCGGCTCTCAAAAAGGCGAAACAAAAACCCAGGGACAGCCGTCACAGTTGGCATTATATTCCCCGAATAATCCGGTAGCGATGTTGGGCATATGTGAATGAGTGTTTGTTTTCGCAAACGCGCCAAGGACTCGCAACAACAGGCCCTCACCTCAGCCCCAAATTCGCAATCATATCTTAAGCCAAGTGTGACTGAGGTGGCTTGGCATCTCTTGTTAATTTCCATATTCGGATTCGCAGACACATATTCCAGAAATAGCCTCGCATTTCATTGTCTTTGGTCTGAGTCCAAATCTGCCGATCTTACCATCGTATTTTATACCTCACCAAAGGGTATATATAAATGAAGAACAGTTTCAGTTTGTGTATTAAATGGCACTAAAAAGTTACAGAAAAAGGTAATAATAAAGGGAATTTATTAAGTATCGACAAATGGATTATAGAAACTATTAAGGAAGAGTATTCGAAGAGTCGACAACAGAAACCTGACTTTCTTTGACTTCAACTCATTTCCCTGCTTCATTCTGAAAGGTTTCTAAAAATGCGCTTTGATTTATTTTTATTGATGACCATATAAATGGGCGACTGCGATGCGGATTGGGACGGCTTTTCGGGGACTCTCCGGCTCTTAACTCCATTTTGCGGGTAGCCACAGTAGTAGTTGGCTGGTAGTAGTCATCGCCCAACAGCGGGGGGAGTTCTCCGGGTCTTTTGGGGCTTTGGGGCTTTGGGGCCGCTGCGATGGCATTTTCTGTTTCAGAAACATTTCACGCTGTGTGAACGACATTTTCTTCGGGGTGCTTCGTTAAGGATCCACCTCCTACATTTCATAATTCACGGAATATTATTCCTTCCCGCCGATCGGCGGGATCCAGAACAATGTTGGGCCCGCTGTCATTTGACCACTTCACAAAATATATTCTCATTAAAATTGTGCTTTTTGGTGCTTCTTGTTGTCAGCTCGCTTCTCCCGGCTTGTCGGCCCAGAAGAATCTGTCTGTGGACACTGGCCAAGGTGTCTCTGTCCCGGCGAAGAGGGGGCTGGGCTCGGGGGCGGGGGCAGTCGACGCCGCCACCACGCCCACCCCCCGTGGTTTTGCTTCCGTTGGAGACGCCACTGCCTTCGGACCCTGGAGAACCGGCGACTCGGATTGGGATCGCAATTGGATTGGGCAGCGGATCCCCGGTCGCTGATCGCTGATCTCGGCGGGCCCAGGCCCAGTTCAAAAGTTTTTACGCTGTTTATGTGCAAATGTCGAAACAAAGATATTTCTTTAAATTGATAAAGATTAACCATAAACAATGCGCCGAGGGAGGCAGCCAAGTGGTAGCCTAAAAGGGGGAAGTCCGGGGATCCACTTAATGGGCTGAGATCATGAGGAGTCGAGTCTTGGGTTGTTTGAGAGGAGCTACTTTAAATGGGGGTTACCTAGTCTTAGGTAAAGTAATATCTAGGAATTCAAGAACCCAACAGCTAATGTTAGGAAGAAGGAAACACATATAGTTACTTTTCAGCTTGGTTTCCCTTAACGGATTGTAAGCTAGTTCTCCCCAAAACCTCCGATCTTTCCCACCAAACACAAATGCTCCAACTCCATTGATCCGCCCTGAAGCATTCTGTAATGAAATTTTCCCAACCATTTTTCCGTGGCGTTTCAACTCCCTCGCCGCGTGAGCTGGTGAAATATGTTCATTCACAGCCGCGGCTCTAACATTCATTCAACACTTCGGCCGACGGCCGGGCTTTCTGGCCAAGATGCCTCCACCGGATGTGGGCGTCAGCAGGCATGTAATCTGATCCCTGACAAATCGGCCTATTAGAATAGCGAGCGAGCGGTGGGACTGTGTGTTGAAATATTTGTCGCATGCACCGCTCGAGATCCCGATCCCTATCCCCATCCACATCCCTAGATCTCCATCCAGATCTCCCAATGGCTGGGATCCACGGCCCGTGGAGCATCTTTGAGCGTAGGTGGCGCTGGGCTTGGGCTGTGGCTCTGGATGAGGCTGTGGCTTTGGGTTAACATTAACCCCATGCTGCACGAGGTGCAGTCTGCTCCTCCACCCGAAAGTGGAGAAAAAAAAGAAGGCACTTGAAAAATTTAAGAGGGAAATGACAGTTACATTTATTTGTCAGTAAATTATAAATGCAATTCCATTAAATAATTATCAAGCATTTCCTATTTATTCACATGAAGTAAAGGCTTGATTTTTACAAAGTCAGCTTATATTTGAATACTTGTGAAGTTGTTGGCTTATCACATAAGTTATAAGTTAAGCTTTCAGTATTGTAATCCCTATTTTTTCGCAGTGCACAGACCGCAAAGGGAAAAGTCTTGGATGGCGCGTGTGCCTAGCCCTTATTTTCCTGCTCCATTCCTTCTTTCTTTTTGGGTTCGTTTTCTGCTGCTTATTTTTTGTCGATTTTATGAGGCGCAAGTGGCGACGTTTTGTGGTTGCAAGGCACACAAAAAAGCACCAGCAAAACACAAGACTTGTGGCCCAGTGGACAGCTAAAATGTTGCACGTTGCCGGTGGTTCGGGCCCGTTGCGCCCCCCCGTTTAACCCCTGGCTGGCCCCGCTTTTTCGGCGCCGCAGCAATTCATAAACGTGGGCGATTGATTCTCGTACCTCGTGGCCCCATCTGGCCCAGCTTTTGGGCCTCAACTTCAGCTGAGTTGAGCTGAGTCGCGGCTTGAGTTTCGGTTTCAGCTGCGACTTCTTCTGCTTTTGGGCTTTGGCTTTGGCACTAAGGCTGGGCAAATGGCCCGCGGCATTGCGATTGAACTTCAAGTTATGATCGTCGTCGGAGTCGCAATGGCAGCAGCGACTAAAACAGCAACAACATCCGAGGCCTGGGTATTGCCACAGTGATGGACGTTCCGCTCACGAACAACAGCTGGAAGACCTGCCACCACTGGCAGCTGATCGAGCTCAGCGTCACCCCTTAAAATAGCACAAAACTCAATCAATCGATTTTCTCGAGCATTTTGAGGAATTTTCTCCACCTGCAATCGTTTCACGTAATTGCATTTGTGAGAACTCGAAATCAAAACCGGTAGCAAACAAGTTCTCCCCTGGGTCAACACAAAATTTAGTAGCAAGTAGTCTCTTGAAGAGTCAACACCCCAAAGCGCAGTTGTTAATTCCAAAATGAGAATCCTGTGGATACTGGCAATACTGATTTTCGTTTTTTCCCCTGGTTGCAGGAGAACAGATCATACCGGAAAGTGTATATATGGAAGTTCTGGAAGAGGTTCGAAAAGACCAGAATCAACCACGGAAAGCGTGGGTACTACATTAGGTACTAGCCACTTGAAACTTGATTTATAATAATATATTATACAAGAATTATAATAAATAATAACCTCCCCTCATCGCCTTTCCAGAAAATCACCCACCTGGAATCGAGACAACTGCCGGCCCTGACTAGAATAGCAAGATGATTAAATGTTACTGCTGGCTGATCCAATTAAGTGGCGTATAATAACAAAACCAACTCAACACGAAAGTCGTTTGGAAAAAGTGTGCCACTTGTTTGTGTAAGACAGCCTAATAAAATCTATTTAAAGCTCACTGATTTGCCTTGTTTTTTTGTACTAATAATTTTCAAAAGGTTTTCAATTGCAATCAAGGCTCCTAGGGCAGCACTCATATACCTTTTCTAGACCTTTCGAAGACGAGGTATGGGCCCGCAACACACGCTGTTACCACTTATTGATGGCACATTGTGATGGTGATGCGTTTCGCCTGCTCCACCAACGAAAAAAGCAGAAATCGGAAAGAAACGGACCCAGTGAGAGGCCCCAAACTACCACCCCCCTCCCCTTTGGGAGGATGGAGATGGAGATGGAGGGGCGTTCTGCTCAAATGTATGATACCCACCCACGAGCAGATCCCTGGCTTTCCGCCAGCGAAACTATGATGATGACTGCTCCACTGGGCCACTCCCTCCTCCCGCGATCTCAGCCCGCTTTTCGTTCGGTTTCAGCTTTGGTTTGGTTTTGGTTCGGTCTGGCATGGATTTGGCTTTGGCTGAAGGTGCATCTTTCGGTTAGGTTCGGCTGAGCTGGCTTTCAGAGGGGAGAATAAATAAGACAATGCAGAATTAAGCGTTTCCTTTATTGTTGTTGCCGGCCGGTGGTGGCTGGTGGCTGGTGCCTTTGTATTACTTTAAGGTGTGCTCCGGGTAATAATTTAGTTAAATCATATTTTCGGCAAAAGACCAAACAGCAACAGCAACAAAAACAAAGCAAGGCGCTGCACTAAAAAATGATTTGCCTTTAACACTCACTCACCAACTCAGCGCCGCCTCTTCGGGGAACTATTGAAATATAGCGAAGGGGATAAGTGGATGAATGGATTGGTGGATCGATCTGAATCACACAGGAATCGGACTAAGTATATCCAGAGTTTGACCAAAAAATATTGTGCTTTCATTTAGAAACCATTCAGTGAACAGCTAAACACATTTGCATGTAAAACCTGTACGAACTTGATTTTTGATTTACGAGCCAGGGAATTGAATTAAATTGCGGACTAATAAACATATATATCTTATTTAAGTCAGCCTAACGGTTAGCGCAACTCAATTGACTACCTCTTTCAGCTTCGAGTATGCTCGTATTTGCATTTCGCTTCTCTTTTCGGATTCATTTGGGTGTTGTTATAACCTCGTCACAGAAAAAATAATTTAGTCGTGCCATAAATATTCGTTATAAATATCGCATTGGTGATTCAGTTTGTGGGGAGCGGGGGGTTCGGGGTCTTGAAAACAGCGGCAGCCTGCCGCTTGTCTTGTCTAACGATAAATAACAGTTAGAGCTGGACCTACCGTATACGCCGAGATCTTCCCAAAAACCACTCGGAGTACCAACAACCAAGCCAAGTCAGGTCTGATCAGCCCGGCCGAAATCAAGTTAGCGTTTTTAAGGTGTGACCAAAAGCGAACGAAACTCATAATTTTTTAAATTAGCATTTTTGTTTCCATCTTCTCCGTGGCTTTGGTTCAAGCTTGCGTTGCACTGTGAAAAAAATTGAGTAATGAAATGAGTTATGGTTTCGCAGAGATGGCAAAAACATCGATTTACTTGATATTTTTCTAGTTAAAAAAATGATAAAAGCTGGACGAAAAAGTATTACAGTAGAATCCGGTTATAGCGACTTTCAAGGGACCGACGATTTTTCGTCGTTATACCCGGAAGACGCACTAAGCAGAAGGATTTAAGTGTATAAGTCTGTCTGGGGACCAATCAAGCCATCGAGTTTTCGTCGCAATACCCGGACGGACACTATAAGCGGAGTCGTTATAACAGGATTCTATTGTATATGAGTTACATTTTTTTCGAGTGCAGGTCTCGGTTGTCAGCGGAGACCCACGAAGCCACCGCAGATGGTTTTATTTTACGTGGCGCGCGTTGTCATAAAACGAAATTTACAAATTGTGTCCCCCGCCGTCGAAGAAACAAAAAACAAGGCACAAAAACAAAACCCAAAACCAAAACCAAAACCAAAACAGAAATAATACAAAGAGCCCACTGATGATGATGATGGCGATGATGGCGATGCGACGACATAGACATCATCGAGCATCATTCTGCAGTTTGCCGCTCCACGGAGCCCTCAAGTGGTTGCAATAAACTCATCAATAAATTGCCGTCTGTTTCGCATGGGTTATGTGACGCCAGCGAACCACCAACGCAACCACCGCTCATGTGGAATTCTTCTCGGTCTCCTCTCGGCCTCTCGAGCCGCCTCTTTTCTTTTCGGGCCCCGGTGGTCCGCTCTTTCTTCCCTCGGCCGACTGACTCGGTGGCTTTCTTTCTACGCGCGTGGCTAAGTGGATTTGTGTGTTTTGTTGTGCGAGAAAAATGTTTATTGTTTCAACTTTGTTATCAGTGGTTAAGTAAACACACAGCGCAACATACAACGCGAAGTGTGGTCAATTTTTTGTGGTCGTGTGATTTCTAATTTGTTTACCCTCAAACAAAGGGCTACAAAATTATTGTGCGCTTATTTATGGCTGCAACTGTCAAACGTCCAACCGGAAGAGCCGCTCGCTCCGATCCGATCCATTGATGATCGCTCTCCTCGGCACTTCGGATACTTTGGGATTCTTTGGGTGTTTGCTGGTTGGTGTGGTGACCTTATCTCTGGGCGAGGAATTTTGTCTGAATTTGCTGAGAATTTATTGGTACAAAAAGTCTCGAGCGGGGCTCATCAATCAGGGAGAGATCGAGAAATCGGGTCCGGAATCAGAAGCTTGCCTGCGGAAGGTGTCCCCTGTGGAAATACAAAATATTTCACGCTTCTCTTTCGGCGTTCTTAGTCGTCGTCGCTGGTCGATGGTAGTACAACAAATTAATTATCATATATATTATTTCCTTCTCTTCGAATTGAAAACTTTGTAACGACTCGCTTATCCCATTTAGATCAAAAGACTCTTCGCTTCAATTTTCGAAAGGTCACCTCCCCCAAAAGTCAGCGGAGATTTCGATTTCAGATATGCAAAGAAGCATGAATCAAAACACTGCCAAAGTCAAGATTCAAATCAGGTTGAGACGCCCCCGAGAAAGATAAAAGCCGTGAGTGTATCACTTTAACTGGCAACTGAATAACCGAATCAGAGTCCTGGCGAACTTCAAACATTAGGGCGCGTTGTCCCGCCCCAATGTTTATTCAATTATCGCAGCATGGTGGCCGCGGAAACATCCCATAAACGGGCCATGGACAATCCACCCCGGTCTCTAAGTAACAATCCATTAATGGCAACTGTTTCGCTGTAATCTACACCACGCCACGCCCATCCGGAGATCATTAACCATCCCCCGTCTGTTTTTATCGGAAGGGGAAACCCTGGTCGGAAACGGGGTGCGAAGTGGGTACAAATTATTAAGCTAATCAACGGGGAAGGCAACAATGGGAAGAGGACACCCTCGAACAGGGGAAGCAATTTGTCCCCTTCATCGTTCCGAGCACCGAAGGGTGGTGAAAACGCTGATAAGCGTGAAATATCTGGATACCCGATGTCACCACCCGAAACGAGCACTTTAAAGTGCCCCGTGAACTGTCAACGGCAGCCCGAAGGGATCCGAAAACGGTTGTCGGGGTTACTGGTACCCGTTCCGGAATCCGCTATCCGGAATCCGGGATATATACTCGGTTATATGCTTCGTTGATCTGTGAACGCAAAACGGCTTACGTAACCGTAATTGAGTGGACTGGTCGCCCGTCTGTTGCATCTGTTGGGTTTTAAGGAAACGGTTCGGTGAGGGAATCGTCGAATTTATTACTATCCCTTTCTCGATATGCACAGAAAATAAATAATATGGATAATGGTAAAATCATATACTTAATGTTTGTTTTATTAACCATTATACTTTTTGACATATATCTTCATACAGTTTAAAAATATGTAGATTAATCATTTATAAATTTATTTTTATTTTTTTTAGCAGTGAAATTATTCCTGAGTGTACGTGTATCTGTGGCTCGGCTTATCGCCCGTCTGCATCGGCTTAGAGTTATTTTATATTCGGCCGATGATGAATTCGAATGGGGAAAGGAGAGTCGCCGCGGGCTCTTCATCATATTTCCCTCATTCTCTACGACATTTATCTAGCTGTTCGCATGGAGCTTACTTTGTTATTAGGTGTCGTAATCGTCGAACAGGGACTCAACCTAATTAACCATAAAGTGAGCGCCATCGTGTCACAACTGTCGGCTTAGAAATATCCAGAGGAGTTGTCAACGTGGAGTTCAGTGGATTCAAGATGATTGAGAGAAGGGTGAAAGTCTCTATGAAATAGTAAAGGGGTTTTTCTACCTAACTTGGAGTACCTATTTATAAACTGTTAAGTCAGTTGAAATTCTTTTTAGCCAACCAGCCGCTCTGTATGAAAATACCCCACCAGTGACGCATTATTCACTCCCCAAACATTCCCTTCCCCACTGGCAATCCACTACACAAGCTCATGATTGAGAAAAATCCCACAGATTGCTAATCCTTCGGCACACAAGATCTCAGATCTCAGCCGAGTTGCCCAAACACAACCACGAAAATATGTCACATTTTTTCACTCTAAAAACGGAAATTTACAACTGCCCCCCACTAACAGTCGTCTCAAAATAGCCGACTATAACAGTATTACAACACCTTGACGGACGCTAAACTCCGTGTTTGCTGACAAATATTAAGGGGTATGGCCCGATACCTCTATATATACATATATAGTATACCCGTGTACCTACGTCAACTAGCGTCCGCGATATCCGTGCAAAGCAATCTTGTCAGTATATTACGTTAATGACAAATTGACGGCACAAACTCTTTGATGTGTTTTGTTTGATTGTTTTGGTTCTAATCATCGTCGACTGCCGACGAAGTAGTCGTGGTAAAAAAAAAAAAAAATATGGGTGCTGGCGGAGGGGGTGGGTGTGTGTAAAAGGGGGCGGGCGGGAGGCCGTTGGGATCTCAGGGGTGTGCTTGCAAATGATTTCGTTTTAATTTAACCGCGTACTCGTAGTCGTCACTCAATTAGCTTGCGCTCAGGTGAGCTTATCAGTTTCCGAAAAGTCATATAACCCCCCTCGCCCGCCACCCATTAGCTGTTTGTCCAGGGGTGGCGAAGGGGGGCTTAGTGGGGTGGGTGGGCGCGAAGGGGAGATAAGCTCGTCCATTATCCGGCTGGCTCTCTCGCTCTCCCAGAAATGGCTGTTTGCTTCACTCAGGAAAAAAATGATCTATGAATAAGAATTTGAAAATAAACTATTATAATATTAAGGATTTATAAACAATTTGAAATAATATCTTTATTTATTTTGGGATAGGAGCTCATTTATTTATTTATATTGATAAAAACCTTTCAATAATAAATCTTTTCTAGTATCCTGAGTAACTGCCCCCCATTTCTCCGAGTGTACAGTCCAGTTGTGCGGCTGTTTCTGCCACTATTTGACGACTGCGTGAGGTTGTAGTACACAAGTCGATCCGGCGACTGCTCCGTGCTACGTGCCCGGCGAGTTGTCAAACAAGCGGTGGGCAAACACGAGGCTCCACGCGGGAAGCACGGAACGCCGAGCGGCTCGGAGCACGGATTACGGAGAGTGTGGAGCACGGAGTGGCCCGTCGGAGTCCGGAGAGCGCGGATACCAAGACCACCTCACTGTCAATTACAACTCTAAATATGTGTGTGCACTCGACATTTGTCGCATTTGTTTGCATTTGCGCCTGCCTGCAATAAAAGCGAACAACCGACATCGCGCAAGAGTTATAGGTTCTGGCATATGGGAATACACCGGAAGAAAAGGGATCCCAATCAAGTGATAATCAGAGATTGAAGTGTGTTAATATTAATATGGTGTTATGCATTCCACTTAAATAGTTCACACATCTCAACTATTCAGAAATAAACCCTTAAAGTTTCCATTAAGTAATTATTTATATTTTCTTTCGGTGTACTGGACTTCATATGCATGCCTTAGTTCTCTGCCGCGAAGTGAGAGAACTCTGGAAAAGTGTAAAACTCTGTGGAAATGCCCCAACTCCCCGTCGGCAAAAGTGTCCCGTCCAATAAAATCTAATAACCACTTGGGGACACCGTTCCTCCGCGTCGGCGGAGCTCTGATGTTCCGCAGCTATGATGTTCCGAGGTTCTGATGTTCTGAAGTTCTCAAGTTCTGATGTTCCAAGGGCCCCATCAAATCCCATAAGCAAGGCCTCTCTATTCACTTGCACGATTTTCGGCAGCTTTTCTTCTTCTGGCTGATGACATTGGCACAAAGAGGCGGCGGCGACTGCAGTTCCAGAAATTCGGTTTTCCTGCCTTTATGATCGTTTGCCGGTTGTCAAAGGGCTTTTATGGGTGGGTGGTGCAAGTAGAGGGTTGGAAAATGGAGACAAAGTGTCTGGGGGACAGCTGTGGTGACATGGGGACACATAAGTGTACGCGAAGTAATTGGGGGAAGGGTAACTGAAGGAATTTTAATTATTTGTTGATACAGTATCTCTTTTTTTGAGCTACGTACATTTTAATTGTTGTATCTATTGCATATCTCCTGCAATTTTAAAGTGAAGCTTGCCGTCTAGTCAGCTCGTCAGCAGCATAGCTTCCCCAGGCAGGAATCTATCACTAAGTTGGACCCTTGAGGCTACAAAAACGCGAAAACGTTTACGAGATGGCACCTAATTAGGCAGAAGAACGCCGCCAGAAATTTACGTTTCCTTCGGTTCTGGCGCAGCCTTCAACTGGACAAACCGCTAAAACTATTCCTCAGACTTTTCAAAACTTGAACGCCGGCGACTGGCCCCAAAAAAAATGAGTGAGATGTGATTTCCTTACACAGGAAGAAAATAATATTGGGTAGTAAACTTTTATTAGGTTATAATAATAAAAGATACTTGAATAAAGTGAATAAGCCACATATCTGTTTATTTATTATAAATTATTGTGTTATTTTTGGCACTACAAGCGTTATTTACTCCGGTTGTACTTCGAAGGAAACCATATTTAAAGTGAGTTTTTCTTCGTATGTCAGCGTTGAGCAAACACGGATTCGTTCCCATTGAGGTGCCGATGCGGCCGGGTCAAAATTATTGGCGTAGTTACGACCGGACGGACAGCCACATACATCAAATCATAAAGCAAATGGTGCCGACAAACTAACTGGCCGGAGCCAAAATGGCAGAGTGGCCAAATAACCGAATAGCCCAGCCGACAGCCCCCTGGCATTTACATTCGGCCCAAAAAGACAACGGCAAACGGGCGATGGCCAAACAACCTAACCGAACGAACAACCAGGAGAGTCGAACACCGACGACAACGACAACGAGAACGTTCCGCTTTTTTGCGTTGGTTCCGGGAAACGCAACAAAATTTCACAACGCACCAAAATGTTTCCCTTCTGCGTGGCCATCGCCACGCCACGCCAAGCCATCTGCCCCATCATCTCTTGGCCGCTCTTGGCCGAAACAACACCTTGACCAAAAGCAATAGCCAACTTCAAAGAATCTTCGGAGCGGCCACGCCTCGCGCACTAGACAACAACATTGTTGGACGGAGTTGTTGGTACACCGAAACAAATTACTAAGTTGTCACTGGGAAAGGATTATGGTTTAATATTACCATATTACCTCAGTTAACAAGCAATCCATTCATTCCATTATTTTCTAAAAATAAAAGATTGCTTTTGTGCAAGCAAATGTTACATTCAATGTAAGGGTCATTATAAAACGATCAAATTTATTGTACAGAATGATCCCAATGATATAGTTTGATCTACAAACATATAAGCTTTTCTTCTCAGTGCAGTGTTGCTGTCGTTCTAAGTGTTGCCGTTGTTACTGTAAGTGTTGCAGATCGAAGGTGGAATGTTGCCGCGTTGTCGTTTGCGTTGATGGGCTTATTAGAGTTAGTCAGAGTTTCTTCCTCTTCTGTTTTTCTCTTTTCCTCTTCGTTTTTTTTTTTTGTCTGGGGCGGTGCGGAAACCTCAAAGCGAATTTAGTGCGCTCCCGCCCCCTCCGCCAACCCCGCCCCCCTTTTCGGGGTTGTCCCCTCGCGTTTATGACGACAATGCGTTTGCTGTCATAATTATTAGTCAAACACAAACAATGAATTTCATAATTTTCCCATCAATACGGTCCGACGCGAAGCTCCAAACTCGAAACTCGCGACTCGAAACGCGAACCTCGAAACTGGGGACTCGAGAGCGTTCAAACATCCGCTCTTCCCGCACGCGCCGCTTGGGAATAATGTCCAGCTCTTCGCCGGAGGATGAGCTGGATATTACTATATAGTTCTGGGCCCTGAGCTTTGGTGGAGTCCGAAGGGGGCGGGGAAAAACACTCTGTGGAAATGAAGCCGTCGCGCATAAAGTGTGAAATTGCTGGCAATTCGCAGAGACGCTCCATTCTTGGTGTTCCTCAGTCTTTGGAGACTGTTTAGAGCCCGGACTAATGGGAGATGTACGTGCACTGGGGGAAAATATTTCCCAAAAGGAAGGATATAATAGCAATCAGAGAGGGAACATAATTCAGAAAGGACATATTTAAAAGGCGTACCTCTTTCTCGCTAAATATAAATGCTTATGCTTTAAATGTAAATTATTTGGTATTAAATCTTGTAGAGATTTTACCATTTACTTAGATTTTTTATCAGTGTGGCCTGCACGCTTGTTCCATTGAATAGAACAATATCCGCGCAAATATTTGCAGAGAGCAGCAAGCAGGTCGTGTTTAAAATGTTTAACCAGCCGAGGAGTTGGCCGGAAAGGGGAGGGGAGTGGGGAAGGGGCAATGAGGAGGGGGAGGGGGAGGCTGGCAAACAAACCAGAACGAGCCGAGATCTCTCTGGCCGAGAAGCGGACGAGAAGTGGGACTCCGAGCCCGGACTCATCCATAATTGTTGTTTGATCGTTGTAATTGGTTTGGTGTAGCTGCAGCACAGGAAACTGAAAACTGAAAAACTGAGAAACCGAAACAACTCCGAGGCGGAGGCCCCATAAAGACAACATTGCAGGCGGCTTTACATTGATCCGTTTAACGATTGACAAACGCGGCGATCTTTTCGGGAAGTCAGAGGCGGGGGCGAGAGGGAGGAGGAGAACCAAAGGGGTGGAATGACCATGGAGCAGCTCTCCTCGGTCGGTCGTCGGTCGCTTTGAACTGCCCTGGATGTGTTTGTGTCGTTATGGCCGCATCTTTTTGTAGTCGATAATAAAAATTGTAAACTTTGTGGCAGTCCGGAGCCGGAGCGGTATAGCTCCACCCTCCCGCCCCAGCGGACAGCCCACTTTTCGCTACAAAATCTCCGAGCTCCTTCGGCGGACACGCCCGGAATTATCTGGACGTTCCTGTGTGGGAAATCAGGTGGCCCCATTCCGACTCGCGACTCCTATATCTTTTGCCCCTGTGGGTGGTCCTCCGATCGGCGATAGCGCCTGCTCCACTTGTCAGCCGCCTTGTCCGACACTATTTGCCTTGGAATGTGGAACGGAACAGGGCGGCCTGGGTCTGGAAAAGCCTGGGAAAATACTTCTTTGTTTCAGCCATTGTCGCTCTTGTTTGTTGTCAAAGGCTTGTTGGACTCGGTGTACGAAAGGTGTTCGGAGGTGTGCACCTTAATGGTACATTAATTGCCCTTGTTGGCACTCGAGCGATAAACATCGGTACAAATATTTGATTTTAGTTTGCTACAAGTGGGTAAATAGTGTAAGTACAAGAGTGGAGTCGACTCCAGAGAGGTAGAAAGGGTGGGAAAACTAACAAACGCTTCGAGGAGTTTCGACAACATCAATTCAAGGAATTCGGGAGTTGTTTAGCTGGAAAAGGGATATTTATCCTCCCAAAAACAATCAAAGTTTAGGTTATTTTCCTTAAGCATTATCATTTATTCGATAGCATAATCAGAGTCCGCAATCTAACTTAGGTTTCTTACATATCGAGTGCCTTACACAAAGTCAAACTTTCCTGCTAAGCTTACGTCACAAATATCCGTGGCTTAAACCGAAGCTTAAAACATAACTTAAGTCTAAACTAAATGCTGTTTAGTGTGATTACGATTACGAAGTGGAGGGATTCGTAGTCATGAGAGCTGCAAATGAGATTTAAATTTACTGAGAGTGGGATCGTGGGTTCGCATAGCTGAGAAAGATCAATCGCTGACGGCCACCAAGTCTCTGGAGGATGCGGAAGTGCTGGTGGAGCCCGTGGTGAGGCCCAGATCGGACCCGGAACTCGACCCGGAGCCGAATAAATCACTCAAGTTGCCCCCCACCACGCCGCCCACTCCGGCGGCCAGGTTGTGGGTGAGGCTGTGGCGGCGGAGGTCGCAGTTCCGGCGGAAGACCTTCCCGCAGGAGGCGCAGTTGTACGGCTTGATGTCCGTGTGGGTGAGCAGGTGGGTCTTCAGGTTGGACCGCTGGTTGAAGGAGCGGTTGCACACGGGGCACTTGTGCGGCGACTCCTCCATGTGGAGGATCTTGTGGACGGCCAGTGTCCTCGACTGGCAGAATCCCTTGCCGCACTCCGCGCACTTGAACGGCTTCTCCTTGGAGTGGATATATCTGGGAAATAAATAAAATAATGAGCGAACACATAGGTTAGTTAACTAAATGATGGGTGTTACCAGAAGGTTAAGTGTGAATCTATTAAATCTATTAAATATTATAACTCTGAGAAATTCTACTTTTAAATAATTATAATATAACAAATAGAAGTATAGTAATGATTTGTTTACGGTAGTTAAAGTAACCATTTCAAATACTCATGTTTTGAATAGATATATTTTGTTTTGTAAAGAAGCTTATCCCTAAGATCCCGACCTACCTGTGATCCCTCAGGTGATCCTGCCGCCGGAAGGCCTTGCCGCAGATGTCGCAGGAGTAGGGCCGCTCGTCCGTGTGCGTCCGCTCGTGGATGAGCAGATTGTAGGACTTGGTGAACTGCCGGTTGCAGAACTTGCAGATGAACTGCTTCTTGGACCGCTGGGCTGCCGCTGCCGCCGCCGCAGCTGCCGTCGAGCTGCCCGCCACGCCCTCCTCCCCGCCTCCCGCTCCGCCGGCCGCCCCCGAAATGACGCTCATCTTGTCCTGGTACATGGTGGCCTGCAGGGAGTGCAGGGCGGAGTCCGAGTCCGCCTGGCCGAAGGCCGAGGGGTTGAACATGAAGCTGCCGTAGCTGCTGTCCAAGTCGCCGGCCTCGAAGGACAGCGCATCCTCGCCGTCGAGCAGTGGCAGGTCGCACTCGGCGGCCAGTTCCGCGGCAGTTGCGCAGTCGAGGGCCGCCTGTTGGTTCGCAGCAGCTGCTGCGGCAGCCGCAGCAGCCGCCACCGCAGCAGCGGCACTAACTGTACCGATCGAGGGCAGCGGCAGACACTTCGGGGTTGCCCCCGTGCTGGCGGAGTTGCTGATGCTGCTGGTGTTGCTGCTGGGGGCGGATGTTGCCGGCGGGGCGGACGCTGTGGCTGCCACCGAAGGGGGTTCCCCCGAGGAGCTCGACGAGCAGCTCGACTTCAGTTCTATGTTGGCAATGTCTATCAGCGAGGGCAGGCCACTCTGCTCCGCCTCGCTGCCGTTGTTGCTGCTGCAGGTGGTGTTGCTGTTGTTGCTGTTGCTGCTGCTGCCGTTGCTAGTGTTGCTGGTGTTGCTGCCGGAGAAGCGGAACACATCCGACTTCCCGGTGAGCCGCTGCAGCGCCAAGTAGGATTCCAGGGCCTGGAGATTGAGGGCGGCCGCCGCCGCGGAGTTGGCGGGCAGCAGGGCGGCCTGTTGCAGGCTGCTGACCATGGTTCCTTGCAGCGAGAGGACGACCGCAGCAGCCGCCGCCAGGTCGTTGGTTGCCGCCGCTGCCGTTGCTGTTGCAGCTGCCATGGCAGCACTGCTCGTCTTGCTGGCGATCGGCGATGTTGCCGATGTTGGCGAGCACTTGCTGTTGCTGCAACTCTCGGCCTTCTTGTGCGTGGCTGTGGGTGTTGCTGCCGCACTCGGCTTGCTGTGCTTCGATGTTGCCCCGCTGCTGCTGGCCGGAGTGGCCGGGGTGCCCGCCTCGAGATCGCTTAGCGCCTCGGCAATGTCGGTGGTGGTCGGCGATTTTGCTGCCTTGGCCGGCAACTCGCCGCAAGTTGCAGCTGCAGCGGCAGCAGCAGCAGCAGCAGCCGCAGCAGCGGCACTCAAGTGCTTAACTGCCTCCATAAAAAAGTCGGGTCCACGCACACACTCAGCTGGATATCGGGATAATGCCTCGGGGCCGAGATGTTGCTGCTTGCCGCGGTGATTTTTTGTGCTTTTTATTGTTTGGCGCACCTACGCAGGTTGAGAGGTTCGGAGCGCGTCCACATGAATATTAAAAACCACACGCCATCATAAATCACGTCTTAGTCACGCTTTCAAAAGTCATAAAAATCGAATTTGACGTCTGGCCAAAACGAATACAACAAACTGCAGTCTCAGCCGAGTTAAATCAAATTGGCAGGCACGCTTTTTCGATTTTTTTCCGTTTAATTTAGTAATTTTGCTTGCTGGCACACGCGAAAACTTAGGTAAGCGATCTTCGGGAGGATATTTAGTTTCTATATAGTCGAACTTCCGATTCCGGTCGATCGGACTTCCGGTCTTGGCTCACACAGACACACACGTGCGTAGCTATGTACGTGCACATAGGTATATGGCTATTTGTTTATTCTTCTTCTCCTGACGTCGATCAGCCGTCGCTGCACACAATATTGGTAAAAGATCTCGAATAACTAAAAGTCCATTGCTCTGCGGACATATCGCGGACCTGCGCTCACTGGCCGATCGCGGTGGCTCTCTCACCAACACCCAGGCACCTTCGATCTCTCCCTGCGAGAGCGGAGGAGAGGTTCGCCCACGAGATCACCTACGAAAAGAGCGAACGGAGAGCAGTGGAGAGCTGTTTCGGCCAGGTGCAAACACGTTTCGTCGGTTCATTTTGAGCACCTTTCTCTGGCTCTCACCCACACCGACTCACAACTGGGGGAGAGAGAGTGAGAGATGGGGCCCCAAGTGGGAAAGAGAGAACCGGTTTCTGCGCCTGATTTTGAGTGGGTGTTCCAGCTCGTGCCTTCTCTGTCTCCCCGTGCCATCTCCTTCTGGCTTGATTATTTACGTTTATTTTTATAATTTTTGCAAGTAGTTGTTTATGATGTTCTTAGGAAATTCACAGGGCTTTTTTGGTTTTCGCGAAGTTCTTTTAACCTTGAATGCTCAAGAATTTGAAACGTATTTAAAACGGTTTAAATTAAAAAGGGAAACTCCCGATATTAACTGTAGAAATTACTTAAGAAGTTGGTGAACCAACTTAAGCAAAACTTTCTGTCATATCCAAATGCTTTTTTCTCTAGAATCTATAATGATCGGCGTTCATAAAAGAGAAGAGTGTCCAAAGGATTGTGATCGGGTGATAAAAATATCAAACCAGATGTTTTTTAGGCCTTAAAGGCAGCCGTAAAATTCCTAGTAAGAGGTTCGAAACAATGGTTTTATCTATTAAATATTAACGATCTTAAAAGCGGTTTGATTGGCGGTCAATAAGAAACACCTTGCATGGGGTTCCAGGAAATTATTACAGATTTTCTTCGAGTGCATGAACCTGCTAGCACTTGCAAATTGTGGCCATTAGTCAACGCGTTGATTTCTGCAGCCCCAAGCCATGCCAGTTGATTGAAATGATTCTCCTCGCACGCCATCCCCAAGGAAAGCCAGAAGAAAGAGCGAGAGGAGACGCTCTTGGAGAATAATCCAAAAATACGCCTGTGCAGCAAACCCAATCACAATTCGAATCACAGCCGCAATCATAGCTGAGATTTTCAACTGTCAATTATTTCCTTATTCTTATGCGCAGAAAAGGAACTGCAGACGGGATCGGATCGGTGGACTGGGAACTGGATTTTAATGCGCTAAACGGCGCAAGTAAATGACCAATAATCATGGGAGCTGCCAGCTCCCCGGCTGCCGGTTGGTTGGTTGGAAACAAAAAACGAGAAAAAACGAGAAAAACCGAGAAGAAATCCACTCCAGTCCAGCTCCGAGTGCAATTTATTTTTGCATTAAATTGCAATTTGGCCGGGACTCGCAGTTTTCTACCATTTATACAGATATTATCGTGATTAATAATGCACAAACATGTCATACGCTCGTTTCGCGTGTGTTTGATTGGAGCGCATTAGGATCGCAGCTTTTAATGATCCGGGAGTCTGGAATCTGGAATCTGGCATCTGGTATCTGAAGCCTGCAGCCTGCAACCTGGAGTCTCGGCTCCTCTGCAGTCTCACGGTAGCAATTATGTCGCTTAGTGGCCGGCTTACGGATGATGATGATCATCGAGGGGATGATCCCGAGGATCATCCTGGCCGGCGGCGCCATCAAAAGATCGCCAATCGCGATTGCACATTCCAAGGTAAGCTCCGTCGTATTGACACAAGCTTCCTTTAAATGAAAAGCCCGGCATAATGTCGTTATATTTCGATAGTCGCGCTTTTAAATGCTCGTTTCCTGTGCCGCCTCGAATCGCTGGCTCTGCGGCAGCGTCTCCTCTTCAGGGACACGATCACCGATGGCCAGGCTCCATCGCCGGGTCCCCAATCCCCAATCCCAGCGCAAGTATCGCTGTCTGTCTCAAGGCAAATGGTACATGATTTCAAATTTCAAGTACCAGTTTACATAAAGATCGCACAGGCTTAAGCTAGCTGCACTGCCAAAAGGGTTTTAGAGTTCTCAATAAAAAATATATTTATCTTTTGATTTCCAACTGAACTCCAGAACCAAAAAAATTAAGAAGCAAATAAATTTGATGGTATTTGTTGGTATTCGTGAAAACTGTTTTAATATTTCATTGAGAACTTCCTTACAGCTCTGGTAATAATTTAGTTTTGGGTACTTATTTTCCTCAAGTGTAGGGAAAAAGGTGAAACCAGTCCCTCCTGCTCCTGCCTATCCTATCCTTGCCCTTCCTTTCGGCTCCTTTCCCGGGCCGAGTTGGGTTGGGCGATCCGAGGGAATGCCTCGGAGCCTCAGAGCCATCTGTCACAAGGTCCCAGTTCCAGTCGAAGTCAAAGTCGAAGTCGAAGTCAAGTCGAAGTGGAAGTGGAAGTCCAAGTCGAATAAGAATGCGCTAAACTTGATTCCTCCGAAGCGAGCGCCGAGTGCGCATGCGTGGGCTGGAATTACATGATCACGATCAGCGATAAAACTTGATGTTGTACATAGCAGGCGACATGGAGCGGGACGGATCCGGGGATCCGGATCAGGCCAGGAATGGGAATGCGAATGCGAACGAGAGGAGCCTGGATGTGGATCGATCCATCGCCTCATACAAAATGTCGCAAAAGTCGTACAAATCTACACAGAGCTCCGAGATTCGGAGCCAGGTTTACTGGAACAACGGGACACCGACAAACGATCGCAGATGCACTTGAAAAAACTTAGACTTCCATTGAAATAATTGTATTCCTTAAGATAATAGAAGATACTGATTAAATGGTTAATTTCAAAGAAGTTCATATATACCTTTAACAGAAATTCTAATAAAATTTTTACTATCCCCTCTTTTCTTCTAGTGTAGGGATCCTCGTGGTCTTTGTGCCTTTGTCGATCGCCCCAAGTCGTGTCAAATTATTGATTGCTGTCTTTTAATTTGATTTTGATTTTTCCACCGACTCTTGTCATCTTTCCGATCGCAGGCGATGGCGGATAAAAGGAGGTTGGAAGGTTCGATGGGAAGGGGGCACAGAATTATTAATCTGCTGCTTTGATTTGAAGCGACACACCGAGATCGTGACAAAGAAAAGTAAAAGTCACAACACACATCTAGGGCTGCGATAAGATCGCCAAGATCACCGGCTTAACACCGATCATCTGGTCTATTGTTTTGGAGTGACTTTTTTTTTTATATTGGACCCGAGTAATTATCAGGGGCGTACGTTTTGGGTGCCTCGGTTTGTGTTTTTTGTTCGATTTCGTTCGGGATTCCCTGGAACAGACGGCAGCTCATTAGCCGCAGGCGTTGCCGCTGATTGGACCAACTGTAATCCCCGCCAGAGATTAGGCCAGGTTTTCTGGGGAAAAATAAGACAGGCGGTAGTCGATATTTCTGTGGTTAGAGGTCGGTTATTGCTTTTATACTTTCCTACTCTTCTGTTCCCCTTGTGACGCAGATCTCTTATCGCGATTTACGTGAGGAATTGACATATCTACTTGGTAATTTGATCTATTGAAAATACCTCGCTGTTTGTTGTCTTTTATCCGAAGGTCGTATTGCCTGCGACAACAATGCCGGGGAATCATAATTACAATGGATTAGAAAATATTAATATTTCGTTTCATCTTTGCCGTAGGTCAAGACCCATCGTGTTTGTTGTTTCGGCCGTACTTGAAATCTTTTCGTTTATTGACACAGTTCTCGGCGGGCAAACAACAAATGAGTTGGCGCATGGCCAAGATCATCTGCAAATAAGTGTGGTTCTTACCATTTTCGGGAGGGGGGGAATAAGCGAAGGGAAATGGGAGAATGTGGAATAATAAGCCCAGATCAATTTGAGCCTTCCAAAAATCAGACATGTGAAATAAGTATGTGTTTGAGGTCATAAAAGGTGTCTACAAATCGTTAATGCATCTGCTTATAGTAGAGAAATGTACTGTTTATAAAACTGTGAATATTTTAAATGGTATAAAAATATATTCCACTGCCATAAATTTCACTTTTCCCTCGCTGGCGCCACACACAAATTGAATACACCGCAATGCCTTGGAAATTTCTGCAATGGCTGCCAATTTCGGAATTGTTTGGGCCACGTCCAAAGTGATTGTGCATCCCACTCGCCTCGAATTCCCACACCCAACGCAGTCCAATGCCAATTCCGAGCCGAGAACAGTGCGAATGTGAAATGTTTGTTCCCCCGAAACATTCCGCGAATGATTTGCATGCCTCTGGAGATCCGATCGGAACCGATCCGATCCAAAGCCGAGTTTCGGCCGAGGAGCGAACTGGCCCAATCAAATCGAAACCATCTGGCCGAGGCGTTCGTGGGAATCAGTTCAATACAATTTGCATGCTCAAACACTCAAACTGAGGAGAGTGTGGTCCGAGGGGCTCCGTTTGTCAATTAATTGCAGCAAACGGGGGAAAATCCGCACGGCAACAATGGCAAATTGTTGCAATTTTCTCGCGGCCAGAAGTAGTAAAAGACGTACAACTGCCGAATTATTGAGTGACTGAATGAATGGCCCGAATGACTGACGGCCGAAGCCTTTCGTCTTGCTTCGCTGAATGGGGCATGGACTTGTACAGTGAAATATCAAGAAGAGGAATTGTTTTGTACTTTGAAACTCAAGTATAATTTTCTGCACAACAAAATGTATATTGGAAACATGGAAATAACAAAGGAACATTTAAATAATTATATACTTCATATAGTTATAGTTGGATTGGATGGATCATAGTTAGTTGGATTGGTTTATAGAGGCTCCTCTGTACCCGTAGTAAGTCATGTGTCTGATGGTCTGATACCGAACCCAAACCCTAACATAAAACATCGTTCCGTGTTCGCGGTCACCGCTTGTCTTTCTTTATTCCTGCCTGCCAAATGGTCGACTTGCCGTTTCTGTGTTTTCCAAAGGCCTAAATGGCCAAATTGATGCGCGATGCGATTTAACGTTCCTCTGATTGAGCTAATGACAGGCGACTACGTGAGAAAGAAAAGTATTTCAAT